AGGTGGAGATCTTTCACATCACCTACTGCCTGATCCTTTTTAAACTGGAAATGATGGGCATCGAACCTAAGACGTTCTGCATGCCAAGAAGATGCTCTGTCACTGAGCCACAACCCTTAACATTATCTGTTTTCATCACTTGTTGATTTATATGTATGAAACACACATAGAGCTTTCAAGTTGTTGTTATTGCCTCAGATGTGTTTAAAAGCAATTGCACTCACAGCCAGACTGTGTTTCCTGATTTGCATGGTAGTTACTTTCTGTTGCTCTCTACTATAGTATGTTACACCTTCTCTGATGTGGAGATTTTCAATTATGACCCTCCTAGGATCATTCAACACTGGTGTGGAGGCCCTCCCAGTGTTCCAGGGGGTTGATGTAGATATCCTGTATTACAAAGTGTTTCACAGTGCATTGTTACACAATGAATTGTGAGAATTTATAGTCTGGTCAGATGCTGAGAATTATCCCCAGTTCCTCCAACCAACAATCTTTGGGGTTGGCTGGGAAGAGGGAATTACTGTTAAAGTAATTATTTTTCTAGTGTGGAAAAGCAATAACATCTGACCTGCAGACCAAGTTCTCAGATAATAACGCATTACTTCAAGTGCTCAGAATATCTTGTTGATAACTGTAGCATGGCTGTATTGAATATTGTGGATTCTGTTAGTCTATGCATTGTGTGGCTTAAGGAATAACTAGGTAAGCTTTAACAAGAATATGAATTTGTACCAAATGATTGTGCAGGCACAAGTGTGATGATTTGCAACTCCTAATTTTTTTCTTTTTCTTTTCTTTATTTATGTTCAGCGGCTTTCCTAATTATAGGTTTGGTGATCTATCCCGTCAAGTTCACAGAAGAGATTCAGTTGACAGGAGACAACATGTTCAGTTGGGCCTATGGCTTTGGTTGGGGTTGCGCTGTTATGGTGATAGGATGTGCATTCTTCTTCTGCTGTCTTCCCAACTGGGAAGATGAAGTCCTGGGCAACATAAAGCCCCTCTACTAAGGTGCAGAGGGAATTCGATGCGGATCTGAAAAGATTATTTGAATAAATGATACAAACAATGTTGTTTTTGCTTTACATGAAAAATCAGAACTTGCTGTGATGCCATATTATTGTCTGAGATAATTATTGAGTTACTAGTTTGTTTTTTCTAATAAATATACCAACTTTGCAGTGTCTTTTTAGACAATTGCCCTTTTTCAGATCTGGGAGTTAAATTACAGAAAGGAAAAAGAAGCAGCATCCTGTATTTTGATAGCTTTTTCATAATTTTCATAAGTATTGCTTTTTTGTGTGGAAGAAATGTGATGGTCCAGTGTTCTTTTATGTTAACATATAAATGAGTAAGTGGATTGTAAGAATAATCCAATCAATTTTGTTCCTAGCTTTATCATTTATGATTCTTACGTGCCATTTTGCCAAAGTGGATGTTAGAACAGATGGCTATAAACCCTATACAGGAGCAATCCTTGTAGGAACTACAACACTCAGTTAAATTTACTTTAGAGTAAGAGTTGTGAGGATTACAGCCTAAAGAAACTGTGTAGTGTATAATGCATGTTGCCATTTTTCATTTCCTTGTGATTTATGCAAATCCACAAAATATTCCAAACACTGCTATGTATTTAATATGTGCCATAACTGAATTTTTGAATTAGGGAGGGGAAAAAAGCAGCCTTGCAGGTATATTTCCACCACCAACCACCTCAGTCTCTCGTATCATAACTCTTTTCTAAATGGACATAAAAATCACTAGATAAGTTTTAAACCACCTCAGTCTCTCGTATCATAACTCCTTCTTTTCTAACTGGACATAAAAATCACTAGATAAGCTTCAACATTTCTTTCAGAGATGTAAAATACATGTTAGTGCCACTAAAGAATTACGAAAGGCCATATAACAGAAGTCATAGCTGTCATCAAAACAGTTGTGTGCTTTCTCACACTATCAATAGGACCCAAAAAAAAGGAAATAAGGTTCCTGCAGTAAATTTCCTAGAGCTGATGGTTCAAAATGTAAGATGATTTTTTGCAAGTTTAATGCATTATTAGCACTCACTTAGTGTGAGCAGTTCAATATATATCCTCCAACTGAGATCAAGATGGTTTTGTAGGTTTTAAAAGCCATTAGATTTTAAAGTAGTAATGTGCCTCATTCTGAAGACATTTTAAAAGACATATACAGTAGTGATTGGGAGTGGAATGTGTGTATACTTCTATTTACTCAGCAGTATTTTAAACCTGGAAACACTACATTTATTGTGATAGCTACTGAATGAAATATGTTACTAATATGAGTCTATATTGCATATGTCTGTACTATTCCTTTGACTGTAGTTTTTAAAATCAGTTGAAATGTTTTATATGTCAACTATACTTGCAGATCTGGCTGATACGTTATTATCCTATTGGACAGAAGAATCTGTGCTACCTATTTGTGCTTAATGGCACAAATGCTAATCAAGATTCCTAAACAAGCACTTCCTACAAAAATGCAGAAGCTGCATCTGCACTGACTTCAGGGGGCCTCGCGTGTGCTTCATTTGTTTATTAGGTTGTGGCCTAGTTGTATATGAGATACAGTTACATGCAAGAACAGAAGTAATGGTGTAAATGATTTTCTGAAGGAAAATATCTGCATTTTGTAAATCTTTGTACTAATCAAAATTGGAAAACAAGTAATTAGGAAGAATGGTTCAATGGAAGAAGTTTTTAAAAAGTAGACAAGAGGGGAAGAATTGTTAGGAAGAATGGTTCAATGGAAGAAGTTTTAAAAAAGTAGACAAGACATATCAGTCATAGGATTGCCAGCTTGGGGAATACCTAGAGATTTGGGGCCAGAACCTGGTTAGGGGAAGGAGCTTAGTGGGTATAAGATTCTACGCAGCCTACCCTCTGAAGCTTCCATTACCCCCAGGGGAACTGATCTCTGTAACCTGGGATCTAATTCAGGAGATCTCCAGGTCCCATCTGGAGGTTGGCAACCCATTAAGCAAAAGTGCTATTACCTGAATGATAGTTTTTATCGCATATGAACTTCAGTTAAATAAACCAGTTTTATACATTTGGTTGGGAGTACTTTATTCAAAAATAAAATGTATCTATCACTTTTACCTTTTAAAAACAGCTTTGAAAAGAGGAATCGCATCATGCATTTGAAAATAAACTCTTTTGTCAACATTCTTAAATGCAAAGACAAAAATGTTACGAGTAGAGTAAAAAAAGAAGTGTTAACAAATGATGAATATTCACCATATAAGTTAATTCTAAAATTAAGACATTTAAAAGGTAGCCATTTTGGAGGTGAATACTCTTAAAAGGATCATAACAATTTAACAAGAGTGTTACAAAATAAAATAGGGGTCCAGTGGCACCTTACAGACTAGTGAAATTTATTCAAACATGTTTTCCTGAGCTCACTTCATGAGACACATTAAGGCTGATACATCTGTTAAGCTGATACATTTATATTAACCACCACAAACAACAAAGGAGGGGGGATAGTCAGGGGTCATTTCGTAGAAAAAGAGCCTAGGGGAACTCATTAGCATAACTCATTAGCATATGCCACACACCCTGACATCAGGGGGCCGACGGTGGACCTGCAAGGCCAGCGGGAGTGCGAGGAAGCCCCGCCAAGGCCCTCCTTGGCCCCAGGCAGGCAGAGGCGAGGAGAAAGCAACTTACCCTCCCTCTTCTCCTGCCTCCTCCTGGCTGAATGAGGGCTGGAAGCGAGGCGGCTGGAAGCAGGGGGCGGGGCTTCGTCATGTGCCCCGCCCCCTGCACCTCACCCGGGGGCAACTGCGTTCCCCCGCGTTCCCCCCCGAAATGACCTCTGGGGATAGTACCAGCCATCAGTTTGAAACAGCACCGAATCAGAAGAATAATCAATGATTTGAAATGGGGGAGGACCACACCCAACTGTTAATAAACAGGCAAAGTAGTACTAACATGAACTCTAAACCAGGAAGGTACAGGATAAAACATGTAAGCAGATCCAATTAGAAAGTTATTGAGGTATAGTCAAATTAATATCTATAAGGGGTGGAACATGCACAATGTTAATGCCTAGAGTGAGTGAGAAACCTGAAGTTCCTGAACCGGGATTGTACATGGAGAGATAATATTGAATTAATGTATTAATCAAGGGCGTTTTCCGCACAGGAGCAGGCTGGTATAGTTTCCTTGCTGCAGCTGCTCCTATAACAGAGACATCAGGGCTTCCACACGTTTTCCTGGTAGTCGTTTTTTGTTTATTTAATGGTGATTTTATAGCATTATTGCATAAAGTTGCCAGGTACTCACGGGACAGATCTCCATCCTCTCAGCTCCTGTTGCCTGCTGCTGTTCTGGGAGCCAGCAAAGGGGGGGGGGATTTGGTAAAAAATTGTCAGTGAGATGGTGTTACATCACTTTCAGGGAAAACCTCAAAGTGGTGTCATGCCTCTCTAGGAATAATTAGAAACTGGAGAGTTTCTGGGAATTCGTAGAGCGGCATGATGTTACAGGGTTTCCCCAGAAGTGTTGGTGCCTCCCATGTTCCTGCCTCCCCCACATCTGCCAATTGCCGGCTGGTAACCTTACCTCTGCGGTAAGGAGAAGAAACAGCTGGCATGAAGGAAAGAGCTGTTATGTGGGCAGCACCAGGAAAATCCAGACTCTTCCACTCGCATGATAGTCATCTAGGCTTTGCTACATTCTTTCCCAAGACTTCAGTACAAAGCAGGTTTGAAAAAGATTTTGGAGAAAAACCAGGGAAAACCCTGAGATGCATGAATTGAGATGCATGAGTGTACCACGTTGCTGCAAGGAAGCAGGAAAACCTCCCACTTCTCCAGAGTTTCACATTTGGGGCAAATAACCTGTACAGAAACACACTTAATTCAGCAGTTTTGTGTTAAATTCAATGCTACATGTGTTCGCTGCACCCCCTCCTACCTGTTTTGCCTGCCACTAAGAATGAAATAGCTGAAACAAACGTGGGGATTATATGAAGTCAAAAAGCCGTCCTAAAGCCATTAATATGGTGTAGAAGTGGCAGAAAGTGGAAGCACTTACACAGGAAAGCCTGCTGGAATGATCCTGTTTGACAGGAAGGCTTGGCTGACTGTTCTACTGAAGCCTAAATGGCACCCCTAACAGGCACATATTCTCATTTTTTTTGCCTCCCTGTACTGCCCTGCCTACTTTCACTACCCAGGGGGATGAAATCAGACAATAAGGCAGCAGAATAACTGTATCTGAAGAAGCATGCATGCAAATGAATGCTTATACCCAGAATTAAACTTTGTTAGCTTTAAGGTGCCGCTGGACTCAAACATCATCCTGTCAGATCAGAAGGTTCCCAAGCACTTCATAGATAAAGAAGTAGAATCAACATGGTCTAGGGATTTTCCAGATAGGAATGAAATACTACTTTGGTAAATTAACCAGAAGAAGAAGAAACCCCCTAATAAGGCCTTATAATAAGCCGATATGCTCTGGGGGTTTGGAATGTTGACAACAGCTGAGTCAGTAAAAGGGAATTGTGGGGAGGGGGGGGATCAGCTTGCTCAGGTCCTTGAGTTCATAGAATCCTGGAGGGGAAGATTTGAGGGGTGGGGTAGGGATTTCCAAAATGTCTCTCGCAACTTTGTTCAAGAGCCCCAAGGTTGTATTTGCAAACAACATTTCAGCATTGCAGATCTAAAAATAATGCTACCAATAAAACACACATAATACTGGTACTTTCTCAGTCCTTTTACAGTTTCCAAGACTTTCTCCACCAGTCTGTTCCTTACAGGAAAGAGCTGTATATGGACAGCGGAGCAGCCTGCACATAATAGGTGTAGGGTAAGCTTTGGGATACCTCTTTAAAAGATCTCCATGCATTAGTGCTCAATAGAATCCCTTCTGCTAACACCACATAACAGCCAAGCCAGAATAGATGTTGATTGATTTACAGCTCTGAATGCACAGCTAGCAGTTCTATCAATAGGCAAACATTCTAGGGCTTTTACAGTACAGTCCTAAGCAGAGTTACATCCGTTTGAAGCCCATGGGCTTAAAGTGGTAGAAGTGTGTTTAGGATTGCACTGTCAAAACTGTAGCAAGGAGAAAAAGGATAAAAAATCGATGAAAGTAAATCACTGAGTAAAGAAGGCAAGTCTTTTCAGGAATGCTCGGACACTTGCTGGTTTGGCTCACTTTCTGCTCACCAACAGCAAGTGGGGCTGATTTGTCATCAGCCAGCATGGCTGCTCTTGAGCAGCTCAAACCTCTTAATCAGATTATGCAGGGTTCATTTCCTGCAGGAGCGCACAGGAGCAGAGCTCAGCAGTAAAGAGCCCAGGGGGCGGGCACATGCAACAAGCCCCACCCCCTGCTCCCAGCAGCCCTCAGTCAGAGCAAGTGGCAGCCAGGTAAGTTGCAGACCCCCCCGACCCCCGGTCCAAAACAGTCTAGTGGCACCTTTAAGACCAAGTTTTATTCAGGTACAAGCTCTCCCTCCTCTGTGAGGACAGATCTGCACGACCCCCCCCCCAATAGCTAGCAATCCAAAACAGTCCAGTGGCACCTTTAAGACCAAGTTTTATTCAGGTACAAGCTCTGTGATGTCAGGGGGTGTGGCATATGCAAATAAGTTATGCTAATAAATTATGCTAATGAGCTCCTGCACCTCTTTTTCTATGAAATGACCCCTGAGATTACATATATTTGAACAGTGTAGTGCAACTGGTATAATTTCATTTTACACATACAGAGTCTGACTGGAGTCCTAGTGCCCTCTCCCAGATCAACTGTCACTACCAACTGCCTCTCAGAGTGACTTAAGCCAGTATCTGACACGGTGATAAACTGCTTTTAAAAAGGAATTTTCAGTGAAGGAAAATTAACTCAAAAGGTCACTTCTAAATCACACAGGGAGGCACTTTTAGTTAAAAAAACCCTATAGTATAACAAAGTAAAATGATTATAAATGCATTTTATAGTAAAATGTAATTTTACATTTACATTTAACTAAAAATGGGCCAAGGAGAAGAAGAAGAGATTGGATTCATACCCCATCCTTCACTACCCAAAGGAATCTCAGGGCAGCTTACAATTCCTTTCCCTTCCCCTCAGCAGACACCCTATGAGGTAGGTGAGGCTGAGAGAGCTTTCTGGAGAACTGCCCTTGAGAGAACAGCTCTGAAAGGACTTATGACTGACCCAAGGTCACACCAGCAGCTGCATATGGAGGCATAGCCTTCCCAGACATCACAACACAGCACTGCCTGTGGTAATGTGTCTGCTGAGGGCAAAGTTGTAAGGATAATGCTGACAGGACACAGGGTCTATGATCCCACACCTCACACTATAAGAAGGCTCCTTGAAGGTGACTTACTCAAGGGCCCAAAATTGGAGCTGGCATTTCCTGTTTTCATCTATGAAATTGTGGAGGATACAGAATCTCTAACAGAATTTCTTACTCTTCCACTCTGATAGAGTTCTTTAGGAAAAGCTGTCATGGACAAAGGGGTAGAATATATATATATTCCTTAACAGTCACATTCTACTTGTTATTACTCTAGCATCAATCTTGGTTCACACTTCTTATGCACTAGAAGTAAACACTAGGAAACCTCCACTGGCTGTTTAGTAGCTGTTTTGGACAGCACTGCTAATTTTTGTATTCACACACACATGCAAAAATTGCCCAATCTTTCCTAGGGCTGCCAACAACCTGAAAAAATGTCTTGCACCTTTAACATAGGTTTAATAAGTGGAAAAGGGCAGCTGAAGCTTTCTATGATGTAGATGGAAGTAACATCATAAATCTCTATTCAAAGGGGCACAGTTTTTTTCTCTCCAGGTTGTTGGCAATGCTCCCTCTAAGCTGTGGAGTCTTGTGAGCAAAAATTCTACTTTATGAGCTACTGGCATTAAAGTTGTGAGCGAGCAATTTGGCTACTGCATAAATTAGTTTGCTCTGGAGCCAGCCTTCCTTAGCAAAGACAAAAATGTGTGAGCCAGAGGCTAAAAAACTGTGAGCCAGCTCACACTAACTCAGCTTAGAGGGAACACTGGTTGTTGGCAACCCTGTTGCTCTCCTGCCCTAGCTCCTTCCGCTGAAATGTTGTGTTGCTCTTGCTGTGAAACTCAACAGCCAGGCAAAGGTTAAATGCTAAGGGCAAGTTGGGTGTGTCATCTCATTTTAACTTAATTATCACCTGGCAAGAAAAGAGGTTCCAAGATGAGTTCCAGCCCTGAAGTTTCTTTCCAGCTCAACAGGTTGTTGCTGCAGTTACTTACTCATGAAATTTAGGTGGGGTTCTCTTCTTCAGTGTCTGCTCTGATCTCTGCCTTCCTTTTTCTTATCCTCTCTCTTTCTCTGTTGCTCACACGCTCAAACACAAACCTTTTCACAAGCCTTCCCTGAAGTTTAGCTTTGACCAGGTTACTGAGTAACGGAGCGAGCATTTTTGCTTGTTGCCAAAGCCACTGAAAACCCGAACAAGATGGTTAAGTATGGCCTGGACTATACCCGGTGCAGATGGATCTTGCCTCTTCTTGTGGGCTTGGCAATGATCTTTGGCATCATTGCCCTAGCTGGCTGGGGCTGGATGACCACGCAAACCTTCCCGTATACACGGCGTGCTTCGTTATGGAGTATATGTTTCATGGAAGAAGGCTGGGTGTGCAGGTCTCTGATGACTTACGGTAAGGATCATTGCACAGCTGGCTATGCCACATCCCATGAGACAAAATGTGCAGTCTCAAAAAGCAATACCAGTACCAGGTACTAGAAAATGAGGGAGTGGGTGTGGAGGTTTTGTGGCTGAACATGGGAGAAATCTATTGCTGCAGTTTTGGAATGTTTTTCTGCTACTCCATACTTGACTGTTCCTGCCCCTTTCACCAATTGTAGCAGTAGCTCCAAAGTCTTTCTTCTAATGTTGAGGGTATATATATATATTTAAAAAGAAGGGAACTGTAACAGCCAGTAAAAACTGGATTTTAACAATTTTGGAAGTCAACTTTTGTGACAAATGTTGATTTTAAAAAATGAGATGGATCCAAACTTTGGTAAGTGCAGCGGAGTTCACCAAGAGGTCTTAGCTTCCTTTTGGATTGTGCCTAAGACAGTGTGGGAAAGGGGACATCTGCACAATATTCCACACAGTTCATGAGAACCCACTGCTTGTCGGTGGCAACTTTCTCAGGAACCAGGAGATTAGAGAAAGAAGAAGAAGAAGGCAGCTACATTCACAGAAATCTAGATCTGATTGAATAACTGACTAATGATTCAATAAGCTCTCAAGTAACAATTTGACATCTAAAAATGTAGACTAAACCCTTGTACATCATTCTGCTGTTTTTCTGGGCGACAAGAAGTATCTAGAGGGTAAGATGCAGATACCAACAAACGGGAAACCTAAACCCAAAATGGATACAGAAACATAATGGCATTACATTCAGAACTCTCACCTCATTGGACTATATCACAATAGTCTACAAGTCAGGAACTGCAGGATTTAATGTTTCCCAACATAAAAATGAACGTAGCACTTCAGGGACAATGGTTCTTCCTGATCTGCTGGTTGTCTATCAGTAGCAGTTTGTTTTTTGTGATAGGACATTCAAGCATATGATATGTAACCGTTTGAAATGGCAAACTCTTGGGGAGTGTATAATACATGCCCTTATAGACTTATTTGTTGTGTTTATATCCTGCCTTTCCCCCATGGAATTCAAGGTGGTGTGCATAGAATTCCCAAGTGTCATCCTATCCAGGAGAGCTTCTGTAACAATGCTGTACCGTATGTCAGGGTTTAGGGGTTTGTTTTGGTTTGGATTAAGGTACTCATAAAACTACTAGAAGTGACGTTTCTCTAAATGATAACAGTTTGAATACATTTTATAGTGCCCAAGACATGGATCATTATGGTCATGAGACTCTGTTCCTTTTTGCTCTTTGTAATTAGAATGCCAGAATATGCACATGTAAATATGTACATTTACAAGCAAGAGAAAGTTAATCTGGGGCATTAACATCTGGTTTAGCACCACACTTCAGTGTCACAGTTAAATACTGTAGATGCACCAGTTTTAGTCACTGGACTATGATGAGAATGGGCTGCCAGTGAAATGGCTTTTTACAGAAAGACTTCTGTTTCTTCTGCCCTTTAATCAAGGGAAATGGCACTTGCCACTTCTGTACTTCTTTCATCAGAACAGAATAATCAATCCCTTGTTATGGTTTAACAGGAAAAAATAGGAAAAGAGTAGGGATGGGCATGAACCCAAAAATTCTGGTTTGGTTTGAGATGGTTCCTGAACCAAACCATGAACCGAGCCAAAAACACCCTGAACTGGCTGGTTCGGACCCCCCTTTCTCCCAGCCATGGGAAGAAAGGGGGATCGCCCAGGAAGGGTTAAATGGCTGGCAGCCATTTCAGTCTAACAGTGGGATGGGTGCGCCCATCTGCTGTTAGGCTAAAATGGCTGGCAGCCATTTAAACTAACAGGTCAGCTGCAGACCTACACTGCTCAGCTATTATGTTTAAATGGCCCGAACAGCCGAACCGAATAGGGCAAAAGTCTGGAAAATGTTCAGGGAAGGAGTCTTTGTATGTGGATACTTCAGTTTGGGGGCAACAAACCAGGCCAAATTCATGCTGAATTTTGGCTTGTGAACCAGTTTGTGCCCATCCCTAGTAAAGAGAACAATGTCCTGCAACACCAAATGTTTATACAAGCAAATGTCTGTTCCTCTTCATCACAAGGATTTTCTGTAGATAGATTTGAATTTCAGCTAAAGGTGAATATTTTGATAATGAAGGAGTCTAGTTAAAAGACAGCAGGAAAATCAGCTACTAGTGTATGTTTGTGGCCTTTTTGTTAAAGCATTGCCATGAGAGGAACAGCCAAAGAGTTATGCCCTTGCGTCGGTGCAACTGCTTGCAGCCTGTAAGATTGTTCCTGAGTAATTACACTCTACCAATCATCAGTCTCTGGTCAATTCTCTAGCCCTATCTACTAGAGCCTTTTCCTTTTTAATAGTGGCCCCTGCTATGGGCTCCTTGAAAATGTGTGCATGGTTGTGTGTGTGGAGGGGCGTGTCCTTGGAGGTTTCTAGAAAGTTCTATAAGGCCATGCCTTTTGCAAAGACATTTTGTGGGCCCTGAGCTGCAGGCATGAGGTTTTTGTGGACTGTTTTTTTTTAAACTGTATATATAAAAAGCATGTGAACTGCTTTCAAAAACAGTGTATTTTATACTAACTATTTTCATGGGAAAAAATTTAAGTGACTTCTATGTGTAAGATTTAGAGCAGATATATACCCTGGATTTTAAAAAAGAATTCAGTGCCAAGGTAATCCAGCAGCATTCTCTGAGCTAGATGAATTATGAAACTATTCAGATCACTAGTCATGGTCCTACCAATGATTTCTCCCATGCTTTGCAGAATTACAGCACAATTCCAAACAGGGTTACATACTTCTAAGTATACTGAAGTCAATGGGCTTGGAAAGGGTACAACTCTGTTTAGGATTGCACTGTCTTTACCAGAAGGCTAGAAATTGCTTTCTTAAAACCTGAAAATGTATATTGTGTTCTGCTGCTAATATCAAAATTCCAGTCTGAAAACCCAGAACTGGAGTGCTAAATATTTGGTGTTCAGTGTGTGTTTCTATGCACATGGCTAGAACATCTTATGACGACAGTAATGAAAATTAACAGAGGCTCATGCCTTCCTCCCAGAACTCTAAGCATTGAACTGCAAGGGATCCCCAACTTTTGCTCTTCTTTCAATCTGTTCCTACATATTTTAGACTGTTTGGCATATTCCCCCTTCCCTATAAATGTTATTGGACTCCTCTAAAAATGCCACCACAAGGCTGGTAACTGGCGGAGGGGCCTCACCAGCAATGTAATGACATTGATGGTGACATACTGATGTCAGTCTCCGTGCTCCCAGAAGTGATGTCAGTGTGTTGGTGGCTTACTAGGCAAAACTCTGTGGTTTAAGCAAGAGTTTTGCCCAAATGCTAAAACATCCCCAGTAACTCACTGACTTCCAGTTACCCAGGGAGTAGGGTTGCCAGCTCCAGGCAGGGAAATGCCTGGAGAGTTGGGGGGTGGAGCCTGAAGAAGATGGGGTTTGGGGAAGAGGGGGACTTCAGTGGGGTATAATGCCATAGAGTCCACCTTCCAAAGCAGCCATTTTCTTCAGGTGCACTGATCTCTGTCACCTGGAGATCAGTTGTAATAGTGAGAGATCTCTAGCCACTACCTGGAGGTTGGCAACTCTACCAGGCAGTGACGTCCACATGTTAGGGGTGATGGGGTGCGTCCCAGTTTTCCCATTTATTGTTCTTCCACCATTCACAAGTGGGAACCTGGCAAGCCTAGCCCACTTCTTGGATTTTGATGTTGTGTCTGTTTTTATGCTTTATTGAATTATTGTATATATACTTTATTTTGAATGTTTTAAAGTTGAAATATTTGATGTTTGCCCCTTTGGGGACCCTATTTGGGTGGAAAGACAGCAGACATGTTCCACTTTCCTTTCTGCATGCAATCTAAAGGGACCTGGAGAGCTATTGAGATAAGACCTTAAATCTTGAGACCAGTAATAATTTTTAAAAGAACCAAAAGTCACTTGAAAGTTGCTTTCCATAATGTGTATACTCTTTTTTTAGATCAGCAATCTCAAGTTAAACAGGTTTTATAGGTTTTTGAAATAATACAACACGAACCCCACCCTGCAAAATTCATGTACCGGAGGCAAAAGTTAAGTCTGCACATCATGAGCAGTAATCCCTCTTTTAAGCTATCTTCAGGTCTGGCGGGGGGAAGAGCATCCACCCAATTTTACTTTACAGTTCATGCAAAGAGGGATGACAACTGCCTAAATGAAGTGTCTCTAGGCGGCAAGTATCCACGCACACATTTTTACTATACCTCCTGCATACAAAATTGTATCTTTATACCATAACAGAAATGAAGAAGCTGGCCTCATTGTATTTGTATTTTTCAGCTTGGGGAAGAGCTGCAGCTGGCACATTTTTATGCGGGTTTGTACTCGTTGTAATCTGTTTTGCCTTGGCCATCATCGCATTTGCCATTGATACACTTCGTTTCAACTTCATTAGAGGAATAGGAGGCCTTTTGTTTGTGGCAGGTAAGACTATGTACAGTTCATGTTAAAGGGAAATTCAGCTGGGCTTGGGTTTGGAGGCAATGGTTAATTGCCTCTGTGACTTTAAGAAAACATCAGTACTTCAAAAAAAAGCAAGTAATTATTAAAAGGTATGTCATTTCAGGCCAGAGGGAA